AGTACCAGGTGCATTTGTGCCATTGTAAGTCACAGGATATTTTTTCATCATCAAACTCAATTTTTAATGTACTTGTTAAAATAACAGTGGTCAACAGTTACTGCATAGGTGATCTGTGTCAGACATTGCATTGCTTTACATAGATTAGTTCATTTGTTCTTCACTGAGTTCCTGTCAGTCAGGTAGCTGGACTAGGAAGTCAGAGAGGACACATTATATCATTGTGAACATTAAGAGACACAAGAGACTGTGACACAAGAGACTGTGGTCACTTGGTTGGTAGACAATGAAGCTTGAACTTTATTCGAGGTTGTTCCAAAGTCCAGGCATGACATCAAGCATATTGCTAAATGAATAAGCAAAGCTAGAATTATGTTTCCTAGAGTAAGATCATAAAAACTTTGAAAATTAAGAGAAAGGAGTTTGGATGTGGCCATGCAGGGTAATACAGAGAAGCAGTAATTACATCTGTAAAATTTAATTAAAAAAATAAATGTCCTTTCCTTTTGTCCTATGATTGTCTTTTCTCCTCTTACTTTCTAGTACATATTAATTATGAAGATGAGTAGATTTTGCAAGTTATTCAACTTTTGTCAGGTTATCATGCATATAACCTACTTTAATTATTTCTTCTCCATCCTTGTGCTTGTCCCAATCTCCCCCTTAGTTTTATATTTTACTGTATGTATATAAAATTAATTTCTTTATCCATTAATTAATGGAAATTTGATTACTGATCTGTAATCAGTTTGATTACAGATCTTGGTTGCCGTGAATAATACTGAAATTAACATGGCGGTGCATGGGTTTCTTGGACATACTGATTTCACTTCCTTTGGATATATAATTGCAAGCAGGATTGCTGAGTCAGAAGGAAATCTTATTCTTTAAATTTTGGGGTAGAATTTCATATCATTTTCCATAATGGTTGTGTGAATTTACATTGCAATGAGCAGTGTATAAATTCCACTTTTCTCAACATCTTTGTCACCACTTGTTCACATTTATCTTTTTGGCAATTATCTATTCTAATAAATTTGAGGTGATGTCACCATTTTTGGTTTTGATTTGTTTTTCTTGATTATTAGTGTCATTAAGTATTTTTCTTATACTTATTTTCTATTTATGTATATTTTCGAAGCAATGTATATTTAGGTCCTTTGCTTATTTTTAAATTGGGTTATTTGATGGCTTTTTGTTGAGTTTTTTATGTATTTTGAATATTGACTTCTTGTCAAATATATGGTTTTTCTCACTTGGTAAGCTGTCATTTCATTCTGTTGATTGTTTCCTTTGCTGTGTAGTAGCTTTTTGATTTGATGCAATTCTATTTACTTTTGCTTTTGTTTCTTATAATTTGGGAGTTAAATACAAAGAATCACTGCCCAGAATATTACTAGGAAGGTATTTGCCTATGGTTATTGTAGTAAGTTTACAAATTTAGATATTAACTTTAAGTCTTGAATCCATTTTGAATTATTTCATTTATTGTGAGGTAAGCCTCCAGTTTCACCTTTTTGCATGTAAATATCAACGTTTTCAATATTGTATTAAAGAGACTGTCTTTGTCTCATTGTGTGTTCTTGGAATCTTTGAAAAAAGAAAGCTATCTTGTAAGACTTTCCTTATATTTGTTAAGTTGCTTTTCTGTTGCTGCTTTCAAGTTTCTTTATCTTTATCTTTTATTTTCTTTTTTCTTTTCTTTCTTTCTTTCTTTTTTGAAACAGAGTCACACTATATAGTCCAGACTGGCCTTGAACTTGATTATGTAGCCCAACCTGGCCTCAAACTCATAGCGATACTCTTGGCTCAATCTCCTGAGTGCTGGAATTACAGGCCTGTGCCACAGCATCAAGCTACTTTCAAAATTATTTGCCCTTCACTTTTGAAAATTTGCTTACAATATGACATGGTCAGTATCTCTTCATATGCAACCAACTTAGGGTTCATTAAGCTTTGTGGCTTCTCAGTACATTCTCTTTAGATTTAAAGTTTCCTGTGATTACTCCTTTAAATGATCTTTCCTCCTCCTCCTCTTCCTTCTTCTTTTTTCCTCCTCCTCCTCCTTCTTTCTTTTTTTCATTTTTTGGTTTCTTTTTGAACTTCCACAATGGATACGTTGGTTTCTTGGTGATGCACCAAAGTCCCATGGATTTCCCTACTCCTCCCCACAATTGGCTGGGTAATTTCTAATAAACTTTGAGTTTGACAGTTCTTCCTTCTGTGTTTGACAAAGCCTGCAGTAGAAGCTCTTAGTAAAATTATTTTACTTCAGTCACGGTGTTCTTTACCTCCAGTATTTCTGTCTGGTTCTTGTTTATGGTTTTTGAGCTTTGCTGGATAACTCACTGCAATCATTTATTATTTCCATGAACTTTAAAGTTGTGCATCTGTCTTCTCCTGTAGTTCACTGAGCTCATTTAGGGTAATCACTTTGAATTCTTCATCAGGCAGTTTTTAGGTTTTAATTTCTTCATATTATTAGCTATCAGAGTTCTAGTTTGTTACTTTGAAAGTGTTACGTTTTCCTAATCATTTGTAATCCTTGTGGACTTACATTGGCATCTGTGCATTCAAAAATAGTTCCACTTCTATTCTTTATAAGTTGGCTTTAGCAAGGAAAGTTCTTTACAAGTCAACATGTCTAGAGGTTCTGACAGAGTCGCTGGGTGATTTTAGAGGCACACCTCTTGGCCTACTTCTGAGATCAGTGACTGAATGGACTTGTCCTGATCTCCCCCTTAGTTTTATGTGGCCAGCCTGGTTTCTAGTTCTTGAGACAGGCCTGAATCTTGGTCCATTGGTGTTGGTTTAGGCCTGCAGTCCACATGAGCAAGCTTGGTTTCTAATCTAGAGAGAAGGGTCTAGAACTAGTAGCTGCCAAGGTTGGCTTTGAGGGTTGGACCAGAGCAGCTGGCCTCTCTCTGGGTTTAGCCTAGAAGTCAAATGAGTGAAGGTAGCATGAAACTTGGCCTTACAGCATACATCCTGGAAGTGGAGTGGGACTAGAGTAGCAGTAGGTTTAGAGAAGAGAATTTGTCTGAAACTTCATTCTTTTAGGGCTGGCCTGGTATGAGGGTAGATCTCAAGCCACAAGTCCATAGAGTGGCAGCCTGGTATGGGAAAATGCTGGAACCAGAGCCACAGAATTTAACATTATTCTTGGAGTTACTGGGAAGGCCAGGTGCTGGGACTGTGGAGAATTTGGGGACTCTCTTTATTGTCCTCTTCATCAGGAAGAGTAGCTCTGTGTACACTGCACTAACTGGGCTTACAAAAAGGGTAACTTCCCCTCCCATATAAAACTGCTCTTCTTAATTTCTTCAATGTGATTTTTCTTATTTCTTTTTTTGGTTCAATTATTGTACTCTCTTTTAGAATGCTTAGCTCTAGTGAAGGAGTGTATGTGTATGTGTGCATGTGTGAATAGTTGCCCAAATTATTATTTCTGTGAAAGAACAACACTAAAACTACTATTCTGCCATCTTGAATGCCATTTAATTTTTTATATGGACTGATATTTATTTTTATTTTATAGCTTTTATGAGACTAATTTGTATGGAGCTATTCATGAAAATTGCTTGTGATTCTGTAAGCTATTGTCTTGAAGGTATCATTATAATATCTTCTGCCTTTATGGAAATGAGAAATAATTTCTTCCTCATCCTGTATAATTTCTGAAACAGTCAAATAATCATAGTTTTAGTTACTCAGAAAACATTTATTAAAAATCTAACATGCAAAGACACATTCCTGGAACCCCTTAAAACTATGAAGATTTTTAACATGCAGTTCTTATATTAAAAAAGGTGTAATAAAATGATCAAATAAAGCCATGCTTATAAGCTAAGCAATGTTACACACCAATTGAAAAGTAAAGCTAAAATGTTCTTGTTGTTTAGACAATGGAAACACTTCTGGTAGAGAAACTCAGAAGCTTGATAAAAGTGCCCTTTTAGTTCAGCTTTAAATATAGATGATAGAAACAAGCAAGAAAGAGTCTATACTATGACAAAAACACAGAACGTTTTGATGGGTGGCAGTTCATTTAGAGTGTGCTTTGCAAAATGAAGCTTTTCAGGCTTGCAGCTGCAAATGTAAGAAAACTGCATCATCACTTCTGAGTTCCTTGGTAGGTGAGTTTTAGGCTTATCAAGACTAACAGACTTTTAGGAGTTATTACAATGAAGTACACACAAAATGACTGGTGCACACACCATAAGAGTCAGGGTATTATTCCAGTGAGCTTAGGAGGATATTGACAGTGTAAATGCTAAGAACATTAATATCCTTGATATTTCTGGATAAAAGTTTGACATTTATTATCATTTATCCTACTTAATTTGAAATTTTTCCCAACTCTCCTGGATAGCTCAATGTATACCTTTCACAAAGGAATTATGTGAATAGTTCTCCAATTCCTAGAATTCCTAGATGTGGAGAACCAAAGTGATGATTGGGGAGCTCAGCCTTCAGTAAAGTGAGTTAGTAGCCTATAATCTGCTTTAGTATGCAGAAAAAATTACTGGGTGACAGGGTTAAAGATGCTACAAGGTGTTATGGTGAATTGCTTCTTAGAACAACTGAAAGGCTTTGTTTGATTCCCTTAAAAATTCCTTGACTTATAATAACTATACTGGTCTGATACACAGTTGTACAAAAACAAGAAATAAGAGGCAGACGTGCCAAGGGTCCTTGAGGAATATCCCAGAAGAGATGCTGTGAGGAGGATGAGAAGGCAGCAGCTGCAAGGAGTCACGTAGCTCTAGACTCTGTCTCCCTCAACTCTAACCTCAATAAGTTTCTAAATAGTCTTTGGAGATACATTAAAGGTAGCTATCAATAAGAATAATTCATACAGTGTTCATAGGAAAAGATCAAATGTTAAAAATATTTGATGATTAACTCCCTAAACACTAGACTGAATCATACCTGAGATAAAGTAACTCCCACCTGTCTCTGTTACTACTGTACTTAGTGGTCAGGCAGGTAACACTGACCTTCTAGCATCTTCCTAATTGAGAGAAAGAACTTTTTGCTCCTGTGAAACCTGAAACTTGGAAGTTCTGCAACTCTGAAGATGCCACTGGAGCAAGCTATAAAAACCTTGAGTCTTAACTCAAATGTCAAGTTCCTGGTAGAAAATATAACAGGAAAACATGAAGTTAAGTGTAGATGTTTGAGAATATAGTTAATTCTTATAAACAGCTATAAATATATAATACACATTATTTCTGCTTAGTCAACACATTGCAAAACGTTATATCTATCTATCTATCTATCTATCTATCTATCTATCTATCTATCATCTATCTGTCTGTCTATTAATGACCCAGGGTATTGGTAACAAACTTATTACAGAGATGAGTTGATACACATAGGCAAAGCAACTCGATGCACTCAATGATTAGAAAGGGATGTCTGATTTCAAGTTGATTTGATTAACAATAATCATTGAATATAATTTCTCAGATAATGTTTCTTTCATCATTTTCCAGGGCATCCAGCTGATGAACATCTCATTTGAATTTTTATTAGTACCTAATTTTTTTCTTGCTTGTGTCTTTCTACCTTACCCCATAAACAATACTTAATGTTTTACTATACCCAATACAGTCTATGGCAAAAGTCTTGAGTTAAAAAAAAAAAAAAATGACATTTAAGCTGATGCTTTTACACCACTCCTTAACATTGATTCACGCTTAAAGCATTGCCTCCGAAACTGTAAGATAACTGATTACCAGACACAGTCTTTTACCTTGTCTCAATCTCCAGACCAAGAGCCTAGACACTAAAAGACTGCCTCTCTACCTTTAATCAAAAGTATTCTTCAATATGGGTCACATTCAGTAATGGGGGACACAGAGTTCTTGTTTCTGCTTATTAGAAAACTACTTTTGAAAGCCACAGAACATGCAGTGCTCCTAAATTGCATCTTACTTATTTGAGATTATACAGTAAAAGTATAGCTTCACTAAAAATCAATAGCAAAATGAACCACAGAAATTAGGCTGGTGCAGAGAAATTAAATAACATAATCTTGAATAATCAGTGGGTCACAGAAGGAATCGAGGAAGAAATTAGACAGTTCCCAGAATCAAATGATAATGCCAGTACAACATACCAGAACTTACAAGAGATATAAAAGCATTCCTAAGAGGGAAGTTAGCAGCTATGAACATCCATATCCAAAAAAAAATAGAGGGCGCCCAAATAAATAACATAATGATGCCTCCAAAGGTCCTATAAAAACAAGAAAAATCCAAGTCCAAAGCTAGTATAAGGGTGGAGATAAGAGTGGAGACCAATGAAATTGAGAAAAAAAGACCAATGCAATGAATTAGAGAGATACTTCTTTGAAAGAATAAAAAGAAATCTAGAAAACTTTTCAAGTCTTATGAAAAACAGGAAAGATCCAGATAAATGCAGTTAGAAATGGAAATGGTAAAATCAAAATGGATCTCTGAAATCCAAAAGATTATTGAAAGTATTTGGAAAACCAGTGCTTTGATAAAATGGAGAATTCATAAGCAATGATTAGATTCCTAGACACATATGAATTACAAACACTGAACCAAGATTTAAAAACCCTGTATAATCTAGTAACAGGCAATGAAATTGAGGCAGCAATAACAGAAAACATTTATGAAAAAAATCAAGGTTCCAATGAATTCATCACTGAACTCTACAAGGACTTCTACAAGGGAAAATCTAAAGTTAATACTCCTCAAACTCTTCACTAAAAGTGAAACCAAAGTAGTACTGCCAAAGTTCTTCCTGAAAGTTAGAATTAACCTAATTTCAAAATCAGACAAAAAGATAACAAAAAAAGGGAAGTATAGACCAATCTTTATAGTGAACATAGACACAAAAATCTTCAACTACATACCAGCAAAAGGAAAGCAACAAATCAATACTATACAAATTAAATTCAACTAGATACCAGCAAACGAAAAGCAAAACAGATTATACATTATAATCAAACAGGCTTAACCTCATAAACACATGGATAATGGCATTAGTTAACATGTGAAAATTTAACAGTGTAATATAAGCATAAGCAAGGATACAAATCATATGATCATCTGAACAGATGCTGAAAATGCCTTTGAAAAAAATCCAGGATACATTTATTACAAAAACTCTGAAGAGCAAAGTATAAAAGAACATTATATCAATCCAATGAAATCTATTTATAACAAATCTATTGCCAATCTCAAATTAAATGGGGAAAACAGAAAAAGATATTCACTATCAACACCCTTGTTCCCTACAGTACTTAAAAACATTAGATAGAGCAATTAGGTAAGATTTAAAAAATGTAATATTTACAGGAAAGGAAGAATTCAAATTATCATTAGTTCCAAAAGCCATGATCCTCTACATTGAAGACCCCCCAACTTCCACCAGTGTTGTCCTAGCAGTAATAACAAAGTTTAGCAATGTAGCAAGATACAATATCAAAACAAAATTCATTAGCATTCCTTAGCATGAAAAATATACTCATTGAGAAAGAAATTAGGAAAACAGTACTATTCACAACAGCATCCACAAAAATTAAATACTTCAGTATTAACATAACCAAGGAAGTGAAAGACCTTTATGATGAAAACTGCAGTATTCTGAAAAGGAGATTAAAGAAGACATAAGAAATGTAAATAAACACTTTCATCCTGGATAGACAGAATTTATACAGTAAAAACAGCCATACGTCCAAAGACTGACATACAGATTTAATATAATTCCAACAAAAATATGAATGACACTCCTTACAGAATTTTAGAAAACAACCCTAAAATTCATATGTAACAATAACAGACACAAAATAATAAAAACAGTCCTAGGGCACAAGACCAAAACAGGAAGCATCACAACCCTACATTTCAAGTTATATGACAATTATGGTTGATACATTGTGTCAACTTGAGAAGTTTACAAAGTTAACTGAACAACTGAGCAGGGAGCCAAAATCCTGACATTGCAAACATCCTCATCCTGTGCAAGAGGAGGGCAAGGGAACTTTGTGAGTGCTACATTTGCTGGGGGTGGAGGAAGATGGGGTGGTGGTAGTGATGGTAATGGTGGTGTTGATCTATGTAGAATATAAAGGAGGAAAAGAGGCTTGCTCATTCCCTCTTCTGCTTTTGTTGCTTTTGCTGTCTTCTGCCACCAGGAATTGTTGCCCCTGTGCTGTGCCACCCTGCTTTGGAACCATCTGATTATGAACTGAAACCTCCACAAAACTGTGAGCAAAATAAACCTTTCCTTCCTTAATTTTGGTATTAGGTATTTTGTCTCAATAATGATAGAAAAGTAACCAATATCTAGACTAATATCTAGAACTAATATCTTGAGTGTATTAAAAGAACCAAAACAATTAGACTATACCAAAATAAGAGCTCTAATCAAAGTATAGATCACAGACTAAACAACTGACAATTCTGGCTTTATAAAAATGAAAATGTTTATTAGAATATAAGAAAAGGTAACCAATAATGTGTAATAAATATGGCAAAGCCTAAGTCTGCAATACTCAAAGACTCATTAATTCATAGAATTCATTAAGAAACTTGAACATAAAAATAGTTCATAGGATGAAGGAATACAAAAGATTAATTATAGATCAAATACTTTAAAAAGGCTCAATTTCCCTATATGCAATATTAATTTAAAATGGTAATAAAAACATTTTATGTAAAGGAAAATAGGCATACATACTGTAAAAGTATAAAATCACACTGAGAAAAATATATAGATTCTTTCCTTAATAATTATCAACATGTGAAATCCAGGTAACTGTTTACCCAGTTCCACACAGAAACATGAGCCCTCGTGGGTGTGCAATGGCAGACAGTCCCACTTCTCTCCTGTTTGCATTGAAGCACTCTGTAACCAATGCCATTTAAAAGCCCATTCCCATGCTAGCACCTATAGGCACCTTTCAGTGTTGAGTAACATACCATAGTACAGCCTACTGATTATGATACACATGAGTATGATATTAATTCTTCCTTAATGATTAATGAATATTTTTTCCTGTTCCTTGTGTCCACTTGTGTGTCTTCTTTGGAGTAATGTTAACTTACTCCTTAGGCAATTTTTAAATGTTGATGTTCTACTTATTGCAGCTTCATAGCATTTTCTTCATATATGAAACTTTATACTTCAGAAAGAAGATAACATGCATACAGTGCCTACTACGTATCAGATACAAGGCATGAACTATATTCAGTAAGTGATTATGATCCTTGGTTCTGGAATGAACCCTGAGTATTGCTTTAATAGTTACTAAAACAACCAAATCAATGTCAGACAAAGGTAAAATTGTAAAGCAAATGAAAGGTACCTCTTTCTTCTTTCTACTCATTGATACACACAACCTTCCCCTTAAGTTATCTCTATAAATCTAATTGAATCTAAGATTTCCTAATGCCAAGGGTGGTGACCTGTGTTTTTGAATATGTATATGAATCACTTGGTAAGTATGTTAAATTGCTAAGTCTTTGGTAAGTCAGAGTAGGAGCTGAGGATCTGTTTTCTACAGAGTACACTGCTGATCCTATTGTGCTGTCAATGGATCATACTTCACTTAGCAAAGCAGCAGAGTATGAACAAATGACTCAGATTTTAAATATAAAGATCTTTCCTTGAGTCTCAGGAAGTGATCACAAAGGTATACTAAGAATCCAATGAGGGATTGATCATCTTTAGCAGGTACCTTGCCTAGGATCCATGTACAAAACAGCATGCCAATTAAGGAAGAGGGCCTACTTAGCTTCTTTCTTGGGTAGAAATATTCCTAGCCGGACAACCGAACTGGCACATGCTCGTGACTACAGGTGCCATCTGAAGATCTCAAACTTTCCTTCCAACATCAGTTTATCATGAAAATAGAAGAATAGTAGAAAACAAGAACAGTAATTACATTAGCAATTAAGCACATACGTTTCAGTACTTTGAAACACAAAATGTAGTTAAAACATGATTCTGAAATAAACTAACCCAGCTGAACATGGATGAACCTTGGAAACATTACACAAGTAAAAGAAATCTCTCACAAAATGCAATGTCTGGAATCTGTACAGCTGCAGACATGGCAAGCAAATTAATAGTCATTTAGGTCAGAGCTGTAAG